GCTCGGATAACTGCAGCCACCTCCTCGTGGATCATCCTTCGTATCTCCTCATCACCACTCCCACTGGCTCCAGGGTTGTGGCGCGTACCCACCATGATGTCTCTGAAAAACAATACAAAAGCATCAGAGACTTGCTCAAGCATACTCACACTTGATCACTTGCCCTTACTTGTTCCTTAACATCCTAAGGATTCTTACTTTGACCGCTCACTGATCCGGTGTTTCCAGTAGTACGGACCCAATACTAACTTCCACACCACATCAGTGTTCACCCCAAGGCCTCCTCCTCAGATTCCAATAACAAGTAGTCTATGCCTCCCAAGCTACTCTCACAGTAGTCCTCTCAATGGCTCATTCCTACTAGATACTCATACTCAAAGCAATTTACTGATAGCAGAAATCCCTAGGCTAAGGCATCACAAATCAGGCCACCATAGTCCTAACATATGATTTACCTAGCCTATTCTCATGAATGCAATATATCTCATAAAATATCTCGTAACACAAGATGAGGGTATTTTGGGAAATCACCGCTTGGGCTCTGGCTGATTGTACACACTGCTCCGACTCGTCTTCTCTTAAACTCTTTCTCATTTTTAGAAAAATTTATCTCTTTGAAAATCTTTCTCAAATCCTCAGTTTGAGTCCAAACACACCCAAGGGTGCATCCGGATCCCTCAAACCAAGGCTCTGATACCAACTTGTAACGACGTAAATTTTCAAACAATTTTTTTTATTTTCGAACACAAATAAACTCATTTCATAATTATCAAAATCATATAAGTCTCAAATGTCAAAAAATAAAACACAATCCCAGAATCATAAAAACAATCTCCCGCCAGTGTGTACAATCATGTTGGTGCCTTGCCGCGATCCTCAGAACTACCTGAAACACAAAACACATAACATGGTAAGCATAAAGCTTAGTGAGTTCCCCAAAATACCACACACATCACATTATCCACTTGAGGCTATAACTCAATAAGACACTCCGGTCAATGTGTCTCAGTGAGACCCTCTGGTCCTACAACTCAGATGGACCCTCCGGTCCCTCAACTCAGCAGCTTAATATAATACACAGTAAGCATATCACAGAACAAATAACATGATATCTCAAAGTACAACTCATTCACATAAGACCCTCTGGTCACACATAAAGTTACCACACAAGGTAAGTATAGTGAGAAGACTCACCTCGTAAGCTAGCAAATGAAACCTCGAACTCGGAAATCTCGAACTCTACCCACCGGTCTAGCCTCCGCCTAACACATAATAATGATCTCTAATTAATATCGGCTCCCAAGAACTAGAATAACCCTTCTACACTCACAGAAGGTTGAAAAGACCATTTTACCCTTCCATAGGCTTAATAGTCCATAATTTGACCAAACCCTAAAAGTCAACCTAAGTTAATGACAGGGAGTACGTTGCACGTACTCGGTCTCTACGATGAGCATACTTGGCTGCCATGCAGACATCGGGGATGCTAGACCCCTATGCCGCGCGTACTGGGATTACACCCAACGCACGCCCCAGTTTCACACTCCTCTCATTTTTGGTCTTAATCAGTTAAGAATCAGGCTCATATCTCAGATCTGGACTCCCTAACGTCTCTTAGTCCATAAAGTCAGTGACTTTAAGCCTTTACATGTCTGATTATGTCACAAACACTCAAAACAACCATTCCTTTTCATTAAGAAGCTCATAACTCATGCATGGCTCACTCCTAATGCCTAAGATTGGATTTTTATGACTCTACTACACACAATACACTGAAAAGGGGCAGATCAAGGTCTATGGAGTTCATTATCTCATAAAGTCTCCATCTTTTGGGACAAAACCCTAATATACTCAAATAACATGCTCATGACAAAGGATAGGCAAAGTCTGAATCTTTATACCTTAATAAGAAGCTTCCCACTCAGATTTGCTCGGATCTAGAAGCTTGGGCTCCAACTCCTTCTTCTTCAAGACCTTCTCTTCTCTTCAAAATCACACAAACACTCTCAAGGCTCAATCACACGTACACAAGATTTAGAACGAAGGTTACAACACTCTTAGGGTTTTCTCTTTGGGAATGGTGGCCATAAATAAGGCCATCATATCCCTTATATATGGGACTCACCCCAAATTAGGGTTGCACTCTGGGCCTAGTACGCCGAGTGCACTTACGGGTCCGCCCAACATACTAGGTGGTCTCCGCGTCACATGCAAACTGACGAGTACGCTAAGCGTACACCTCCGGTACACCTCGCGTACTTGTTTTTTACTCTTTTTATAATAAGGGCTAAAATAGACAATAGATCAATATATCAAGGTTCTCAAAGAATACTTGAATTTGGATGTTACATGGTGAGTAAGTCTTGGGTGTCTTTAAGCTTCTAGATCCTGCATCTAGTTCATAATGAGGAACTTTTGGAGGTATAAAGTCATAACCTTGTCATCTATTTTGTTAGTTTGAGTTAGAGTTTTGTTATGGAGTCCCTTTTTGGTTATTGGACCCTCTCTTGTGAGTTGAGCACCTCCAGAGACTAGGATGGTTAGATCTAAGCTCCTTGATCATGTTAGATGCATAAAGGTGCCATCTTGAAGGTTGTTTTGATTCCATGCATGAGCTTGAAGTATTAAATGAGGTGTTAATGGGAATAATAGAGTATTAGGGACCCTTATGGCATGGAAGGGCATAAAGTTGCCAACTTTATGCCCTAGGACATCTTAATGGACTCAAATATGAAGTTTAACGTTGAAATTCCAAGTATTAAGCACTTAATGGTCGTGGTGTATAATCAGCTTGTACGTCAAGCATAATATCATGTACGCTGTGCGTACAACCAAGGGGATCAGTACGCCAAGCGTACTGGAGGGGTATGCCGGGCGTACGCACCTCAGATGGGTTTGGGCTTCGTGTAGGCTTGTGAGCTTATTGGGCCTTATTCTGTTTGGGGTCTGGTCCCATTTAGAGTTAAGTGGACTATTATTCTATTTTAGGCCATAGTTGTATTGGTTAGGCTTGTTGGGCCATGAGGCCCATTAATAGCTTTTATCTTGGATCCTAATCCCATTAGTAAAGGAACGACTTTTGGGCCACCATGGAAGAGATTAGGCTTTAGTGTTTGGACTCTTTGACTAGATGGAATTATAATCCTAATTTAGGGTTATTTGTATTATTGTTCAGTGTGAGGTTTCAGGCTGTTATTCAAGCAGCTATTGTGTTCAGCAGATTGAGGTGAGTCTTCTCACTACTCCCATGGTTCGAAGGCACCAAGGCCGACCCATTATTTTTTATGAGATGTTAGTAATTGATTATGCTATGGTTTGCATAGACTTATGTGAAGGTCATGTGGGGAGCCCATGACACTTGGAAAGACATTAAGGGGAGCCCACGACATTGGGAGACAAGACCATGGGGGTAGCCCACGACAGTCCAAATGAAGACCATGAAGGGAGTCCATGGTAAATTTATGTTTATGTGTGGATGGCAATATATGGTTATGTGTTTTCTGGAAACTCACTAAGCGTGTGCTTACAGTTTTGTTGGGTATTTCAGGTACTTCTGGTTCTAAGAGCAAGGGCCCGACTCGATGGCGCAACGTGCAATCCATGATATTTCTACACTTAGTATTTGAATACTCTAATCTTTTAAACAATGTAGTTATATAATGAGATTTTTGGAAACAAATATTGTTTATAGTATTAATTATTTAATGAAAATTTTCCTATAAATTTTAGGTTGTTACAATCCTGATATATAGGATGATGCTATGCTTAGTGATATGTAAATCTGTCTGATTGTCTGTTGACTGATTATATGTTCAACTGTTATATGTGTACATATTTTGGTTGGTGGTTGAGGATTTACTGTTATGTACGTGGGCCTACAGACTGGGGGCATTCCAACCTGATGGTTGATTAGACCTGAGGATATTCCATCCCGAGGATGACTGGACCCGTTGTATATTGGAATTCCAACCCGATGGTTGACTAGGCTTGTGGTATTCCAACTTGATGGTTGATTGGACCTATTGTATATTGGCATTCCACCTAGGGTATTCCATCCCGAGGATGACTGGACCCAGAGGGTGACTGGGCCTGGGGTATTCCAATCCGATAGTTGGTTGGACCCCACATGCTTTTGTATATGTTATTTGTTTATGCGTTGGTACTTTGGGGGAAACTCACTAAGCTTTGGTTTACAGCTTTTAGTTATTGTTTCAGGTACTTCTGATGATCGCGGGAAGGTGAAGACGTGACCGTACACATCCTATGTTTTATGTACTTTTGATCTATGGGATACTCTGATATGGAACAATACTTTGAAAACAATGATTTTGTAAACATTCTATGATTTGGGGTTGTTTTAAAAAGTTTAAATTTATTGCGATTTTTATGGATGTTACAAGTTGTGTATTAAAACAGTTGCTCAAACAATTTATCAGGTTGGGTGATTCCTCCAGATAATCGTTGCCTTAGGATTTGTGAGAACTGATTGTGCAGGGTAGGTGGTTTTATATCAGATTATACCTATATTGTTTATATGCAGGAATGTTATTATGTATTATCAGTAATATATTATGGGCTTGAAATCCCTATGCATCTCACCAGGTTTCCCAAACATAGCCTACTCATTTTATGTGCATCACACGTAGCAGATGTAAGGTTGCCGACGTCTAGTTAGGATGTTGAGTGGAATAAAGGGATGTGAATGTAATAAGTAGGTCCAGGACCTATTATTTTTACGTTGTAATGTATATTTAGATATGAACAATGGCATCGTCGATGTTTTAATAAAATGAAATAACTTTTGTTATCCCAAAAATGTTTTATATAACTGAGAATTTTCGTATCTCAATTTATTAAAGTGTAAAGAAAATATTTTAATTGGTTATGAAAAATGGGGGATGTCACACAAATGATGAGAATGCAAAATTGAGTAATTACATTATTCAAATTCATCACCCCACAAAATTAAAGGATTCTACTGTCATTAATCAAGCTCAAATAAAAAATATCATTTATGAATTTGTCATAAAAATTGAAGTACAAAAGTATATAGATTACACGCTCTTTTTGTTGTGTTAACCAACATCAACAATCCCTAATTTCTATTTTTTTTTCATAATTAGTTAACACTTTCGTGAAGAAATTGTCAACATAATGATTCGAGTATTTGATATTGTGGGAGTTCAAAGCTATGCAGAGAATATACTCACAGCATAATACATTTGATTGAGTCCCCCATTACATGAAACCGCTAAGTAACCGTTTTTCTTGTAGCGCCCTACATAGTTCCACAATCAATGAATTCCTCTCCAAAGAAGTCAGTGACCAAGAAAAATCCTAAATTCAAAAGCCAAAACATAAAATATAAAGTATACATGATCAAACGTAGGAGATGATTTGTTCTTACATGTGCAAATAAGAAAGTATCACAACTATGAGAATAACCTGAGTATGTTGAGTGATCTCCTGTAACCTAAACACAAAATCCTGCATGAATACTTGTATATGCACATTGAAAAGCAATTTTGTATAAAGTTATTGAAGTCTTGAAACTTGTGAGGAAGTCGGGGACATCGTTTTGAAGATGAATTGGTTGAACATCTTCCAACATGGCGCCATTTGATTCTTGAAGCGGTTTAAAATGCTTTTTAGATGGTTTTTGAAATGTGTTAAACCTATCCTCCGATTTCTTGCTCAACGGTTTCTTTGAAGGTTTAGTTATGCCTTGCACAAATGTAAATTGAATAATGAGCACCAGGATACATACATATATGAAAAAGAACATTCAACTCTATTTAATTACTCACCCCTTTCTACAAAATTTAGCTAAGTTTTAACTAGTTTAGTCACACATGATACTATTTACACATAATCAATACATGTAACGAAAAAGTTTACAACATACCAAGCTTTTGCTACTCCATTCAGAAATCGGTTGTAGTTTTCGTTTCATCCCTAAAGCCTAAACCCTAGAAACGTGAAAAAGATATAAAACGTACCTCCAAAAGTCTTCAAGAGAGGAGAAAGTGTAGATAGGGTGCATGGAACTACCCCAAGTGACTTGCTTGGACTTAGTAGAGGGGGTCCAATAATGTTCGATTGGATGTTGTGGTATGGTCGTACCAGATGTAGAAGAAGAGAGAGACGATAGCGTATCAACATCATAACAGACAATCTTTCCCTCTTCCAATTGTTCATCTTCTTCTCTGATCGAAAACACACATGGTTGTTGACACTATGTGTTCCTTTAATCTACTTAGGTATGGTATTGGAGAGGCAAAAGAGCAACACATACCAATAAAAGTCGATGATGTAACCGTTTTTAGCCTAAGCCGAATAGATGGAGCCGGCTTATACATCATCGATATGCATTTGATTGGAAATGAATTGCGGTGAGCAGAGCGAGTACATACAGACAACTCCAAACCCAAGCCGATATTTATTTATTTGGACTAAAAATATAATCAGTCGATATTGGAACAAAAATTCGAGAATAAAATATTATTGACCAAAAGTGTCAGTTGAAAAAAAAACCTGGGACTTATTTATTTATTTATTTTTATTTTTTTTATTTTAACATTAGAAACTAGTTTCGTGAATACGCGTGGTTTTATTGTGTCTACGTGTGTAATGCGGTATAATAAGACGGTCCACCGTATATGAGAACCTCCTCTAAATCGCAGGCGCTGGTTTCTGAAAGAGTTAGGAAGAACATACAACCCACAAACTCTTCATAACTTCTCTCCAATCTCTCGAGATCGATCAAAGATTAGCAGATCCGATCCTTCGAAGCTACAATGGTAACCGTTTATCTCCTGTTTCTTGAATTTGGGGTGTTTCAATCCTTACAGTTGAAGTTCCCCGATCTTTTCTGATTGCGTCTCTTTTTGATCTTCTGCGCTGTTTGTAGTCGATAACTATTTATGTCGCGTTAGGGCTTTCCGATCCAGTGGCTTGATGGATTTGCATGTGAGATTGGTTTAGATCTGGGTAACACCGATCGGATCTGTTCGAAATTGGGATTTTCTTAAAGGAGGATGTTAGGTTTTTTTTAGCATGTCCATTTATATTTTTTTCGATCCAATAGTAGATATATCCTGATAACTAAAGTCATCGCTTTCGTTGGTGATCGAAAGAATATATCTTGATTTAGGAATATTTCACATCTGAAATCCAGACGTAGTGATTTTTCTTTGAAACTAATTTAACTCCTAAAAGACTAAAAGTATTCGATTAGAGAAGTCTGCGAATGAGTATATTCTGAAATTGAATCAGCATACGATACCGATTCTATGATGTGTTATGATCATAATATGAAGGGATAACCTAGAAAAAAACATAAAACATATTGCTGGTATTTTGCCATGTCACATCAATTCAATATGCTAAAGGTTTTCATTTCAATTTATGCTTTATTCTAATTCACTAAAAAGAGAAAATTGAAATTGTAGACTACATCCAAGCGTTTGGCTGATAGAAAGGTGGAGAGGTTTGAGAAGAACATCAAGAAGCGTGGCTCTGTTCCTGAAACTACAACAAAGAAAAAGGACTCTTACCCTGTGGGGCCTATTGTGCTTGGTTTCTTCATATTTGTGGTGATAGGATCCTGTAAGTTTCTCTCTTGTTTAAACTTTTCCAATCTCTTTTTTTTTTTTTTTCGTTTTGTTTTATATATCTACACATGTATACTTTTTAGAATGAAAAAGCATGAATAGTTCAAAAACATATGAATAAGGGGTTTGTTGAATGGATGAAGTGTTTTATAGACTGAATAAACCAACCGAATAAAGAGTAAAGGATCATTATTTTTGTGATTTTGTAACTGATTATGGTTTTGGTTTGTAACAGCTTTGTTTCAGATAATCCGCACAGCAACAAGTGGAGGCATGGCTTGAAACTTGAATGGGTGGATAGAGTCAGTTTCTTTCAAATGGGTAGAGCCTACTTTATTTTATGGTTTATGGTTTGTTTTGTTTGAGCTAAAGTTAAGTTAAGGTCGTATGTTGAAGGATTGTTCTGAGTATTGAGTTATAACTCAATAAACTATATAAAATCATAGTTAAAAAAAAAAAAAAAAAAACAAAGGTCCTTTGTTTCTTTATGGTTGTTTATAGGTTTACTTTATAGTGGCGTTCAAATAAAATCAAGAGAGAAATTCATTGAGGCACTACAGTTTTTTTTGGAATTGCCATCGCACCCGCAACAAAAAAAACCAGCATCTTACATCCTCCAATCTTGACTATAGTTATTGTCGTCCCTATTCATCATCTTCTCCATAAACACATGCCACCTCACCATCTCCGATCAATTGTTCATGTCAAACATTATAGTTGATGTTGACATGCTAAAAACCGGACAAAAAAAATCTTACGATCCTTTTTAGCATGCCAATATTAACTTTACGCCCCAAAGAAAAATACATTTCCAGACCAACTGCGGCTCCGTTTGATAGTTGCTGATTGGGAAATTTCTATCTGGATAAAAAATCCTGAACGAGTAAGAAATCATGTTGTTTGATTGTACTTCTGACTGAATGTGCTGACTGATACAAAATGACCATTTTACCCTTACGATCATTAGTGGTTAGTTCATGTATACATGCCTCAAGAAAAGTTTTTTCCTCATACTCATTCCAAACCAAAATCCTAAAATTATAAAATTATAGAACTTGTATGAATCAACAACAATCAAGAATCAAAATCCTCAAACTCATCACTAGAACAACAAACAGTTAGGTATGTATGAACTCTGAAACTATCACTAGAATAACAAATATTCAATTTAAGATCAATATTTTCCTAATATGAACAGAACAAAAACATAAACATCAAACATGAACAGAAACAAAAACACCAAACTCATGAGTAGAAGACATCTAATTTAAGCAAATCTTTTGCAATCCAGAGTCAAATATGGACTCATTTTCTTGGATGGATTCCCCTGCATCTTGTCTACTTTTCTAGACAAAAGACTAATCTACCCCCATAAAAAATCATGAAACCTGGAAGTAGAAATTGCTATTTATCAAAAATCTCTTTTGCACTTAACAACTAAAAAATATGTTTTGCAATTGAACAACAAAATTCTGCAGCAAACATGGACAAAAACAAATAAAAATCGAAACTTTTAATCAAGTTCAAACATGAATAAAACAACAAAATTTTGCTGAACAGAAATTCAAACGAAAATCAGAATCCTAGATTCAAAAATCAAAATTTCGGAACAAGAAACAAATCAAAATCCAGAATTTAAACCATGTTATGTTTAGGTTATATTTATATTATGATCAGTTGAAGAAATCATACAAAACATAAATCAGAATCTGAAAAAGGATGGAGATCATCGATGAAGAGGCAATGGATCGTACCTGATGAAGAGGCAGGAGACCGTCGATGGAGGTTGGTTGTGGAGCAGATCATCGGTGGTGGGCAGATGCAGAATCGAAGAGAAGGAGGTGTCGTGAAATGGAGAATGATGGAGGCGCTGAAAGAAAACGTTGGGCAAGGGTAAAGTGGAACTTTTCTCAGTCAGTTGTTTTCCCGTATCTATCCCAATCAGATTCCTTCTTACTAAGTCAGATGCCTACAATTCGATTACCAAACGCCTTTTGCTGACTGAGTCAGCCAAAAACATCTGACTCGACTCGGTCATACGTTTATCGAACAGGCCCTAAATCAACTTCGAAAAATTTGATGAGATTATCCCTAAAATCATTATTATTCAACAGGACATCATTTTAATATAATAATTGTTATAAAGATAGCAATAAATATCAATTTCATTAGCAAACTTACATTTTAATTTCAAAATTCATAAAATTAAAGCTCATTAGTTTCTTTTATTTATTTAAATTATCTGTTTAAATTTAAAAGATAAAAAATATTTCCATTATAATAATTCAATATTTTTCTTATTTTCTTATAAATTCAAAGTTTTTAAATATTTTGATATTTATATTTAGTTTTTTTTAATTAACCCATATAATACATGGGTCTTACAACTAGTATTTATTCATTCTAACATTTTATTCAAAAAATACTTAGTATTTTAATATAAAAAAATCAAGAAAAAAGTCCCATAAGAAATATATTGGTTTATCAGTTTATATTTAATGAATTGTTATATGATTAATCAGATTCCCTTTTTAATAAACATGTTTCTTATTTTAGTATAAATTTATCACCTGTGGCTTTAAACATATATTTCAAAATAAATTTACTATAAGATTCCGATTACAATGAATTTGTCCATTTTAAATTAAGTATAGCCCTAAATGGTATATGGTATACCGGTTGTAACAGTCCGAATTTTCCAGGTATTTATTATTGGCTTATTTTTGGAAATTGTGAGTGGACTCAGCGAGTTGGAGCTCAAACTCGCCGAGTAGGATCGCGGTTTTGGACACGGGTTTGCGTCTGGACTCGACGTGTAACGACCCAATTTTCATGTCCAAAAATTTTCATTTTAAAATATTACTTTTAGAAAACATTAATAAATAAAAGCATTGTTTGATCACGCCATAATACATCGCAAACCATGTTTTAATATTCAAACCATACAATCCATCAAATATCAGAGTACAATTCCAGTGAATCTCGTAAATGCGGAAACCGAAGAGTGTGTGTGTGACATGCTGCTACCGTGCCGGCTCCTTTCCCGTAGCTGAGGAGGTACCTGAAACCAAAACTGAAACCGTAAGCACAAAGCTTAGTGAGCTTACCCATAATACCCCATACCATACAACATATAACAAATAACATGCAATTAGGAGATACGGGCCCCGCCCACACTCGTGAGGATACGGGCCCCGCCCACACCTCACTTTCTGAGAGATACGGGCCCCGCCCACACTCGTGAAGATACGGGCCCCGCCCACACTTCGCTACCTGGGAGATACGGGCCTAGCCCACACTCCATTCTCGGAGGGATACGGGCCTCGCCCACACCCAACCGTCAACACATATCATACAAGTATCACGCAGACAACAAGTATAAACAGTTCTATCATACTGGTATATATCACAATCAACTCGACTAATAGATACGGGCTCGGCCCACACTATAATACTAACGTCTCATCTATACGGGCCGACCTTGGTGCCTTAGACCCGTTACTAATGAAAGGAAACTCACCTCGAAATAGCTGCTGGTCTGTGTGGGAATTGATCACCTACTACTGCTGCTGCTGCTCCGGAAACTCCCCGGCTGTAATTCCCACAATATACTTAATCATATACTGGTAAAAAGACCATTTTACCCCTGGTCTAGCCCTAAGTCAAATCGAAGTCAACTATTAGTTTACCCGACTCGCCGAGTGGATCTCCACTCGCCGAGTCCCTAGCAAACTATTGTCCTGGGT